GGGCGAGGTTGTGGTTAGAACGCTTGGTTGAGTGCATCAGACGAGACGATGAAGAAGTTCATCAAAGCCGGAACTAATCGAGCCGTTTGTGCCAGGCTGGGGAGAAAGGTATTTTAATAATGTAAATTATGTGAAAAATAATGCGTTTTTCGAACCACCAAGCATGAGAGCATGTTCTAGTACACCCCCAAAACATAATCAAGACTTTGTAAAAGAGCATAATAGGACCCCTTTAAATTGTAATAATACTTCATAATAATATTACTGCTTTTTACTGTATTTTTGATCATATAAATACAGCCTCAGCGAGCATAAGAGACATGAGTATATGAGCATTTATTTAAAAAACAAAAATATTTCTAACCCAAAAATGAAATAAAAATGATTTAAAACACAACAAAAGGCTGACAGCTTACTGTGGCCTCAGCCAGAAAAGAGTAACTCCACACATAATTGTGTGGTTGTGATTGTGACATATGTGCAAGTGTTTTTAATCTAACATTTACCTCTGTATCCTCCACCACCGCCTCCAGCGGTGCAAGCGCCCCCTCCTCCCCCAAACCCTCCAAATGTAGCCCATCCCAGCACTGACAGAGCCTCAGGACAGGATGAGCCTCCTTGACCTCCTTCGACAAGAGATTTCCCTGCCCAGGGGAGAGAAGACAGGTCGCTCCATCCACCTCCTCCACCTAAATAAGCACACATAGAAATACAGAAAAAACACATACACACGTTTACTCAGTGCTGGGCATGTTAGTTTAAAGTGGTTCCACAGAGAAATTCTTTTGGTTTGAGGATGCAAAATTCAGCAAGCTTGTACATACATACATACTATTTATTATTCATTGTCTGCTCTTCTACTTTTTTGGCAGATACAGTGTTGGGAAGGTTACTTTGGAAATGTAATAGGTTACAGATTACAAGTTACCCTATTTAAAATGTAATAAGTAGTATAACTATTTCAATTACTTTATTATAGTAATGTAACTGGTTACATTTGATTACTTTTTGATTACTTTTCTAACAAATGTTTTTTAACTGTTAATCATTTTGAAACATTTAAACCAGGCAGCGTTAACCTTAGTATTCAACACTGATTACTGTTAGACTTTCAAAACCTTCAAGTTCATCACTTGAATTAAGATTATAATAATTTAATTTTAAAGCACAGCCACCACAATCAGACTTTAGCACCTCTTTTTACTTTGAGATCGTTCTGAGATTAAATACAGATTTAAAATCATAACAAGAAATAGTTTAATAGCTATATCTGTTTTTGAAAACAAATCTAAAGCTAATATTAAGCATATATATAAAATCAAAAAGAAAATAAAACAGTTATTGAATAAGCATGTGTCATATTCTCTGTCCTAAAATCCTGAAACATTGGTGTCTCATATTTTAGAGACCATTACGCCTATGGGGAGTCCCTACAAGGATAGTGCACCAGACTGTCTGTGTGTGTGTGTGTGTGTGTACAGGTTTTTCTATACCTGGTGGTAGGGCTGTGCAAAAAATCGAATGCGATTTTCATGCGCATCTCGTCAGTAAAGCCGCTTCTGGTGATTACTAGTAAATCTCCAGCACATGCTTTCAGATGGAGCGGCATTTACTACACAGAGCCGTAGTTCACTGACAAGCTACACAAAATCGCGTTCAAAATCGGCAATGAATCGCCTGCAATTTTGAACACGATTTTGTGTAGCTTGTCAGTGATCTACAGCTCTGTGTAGTAAATCTGAAAGCACGTGCTGGAGATTTACTACTAATCACCAGAAGCGGCGGCTTTACTGACGAGATAATTGCATTCAATTTTTTGCCCAGCCCTACCTCGTGGGGACTTAAACCTGAATATACACCAACTCATGGGGACTTGTGTCACTGTGGGCACCTACATTGAGGTCCCCATGGGTACCGAAGCTTATAAATCATAGAGAATTCGGTTTTTTTAGATTGTAAAAATGCAGAAAGTTTTCTGTGAGGGTAGGTTTAGGTGTAGGGTTGGTGTAGGGCGATAGAAAATACAGTTTGTACAGTATAAAAACCATTAAGCTTATGGGGAGTCCCTACAAGGATAGTGCACCAGACTGTGTGTGTGTGTGTGTGTGTATGCGTGTGAAAATATTCAGATGTAAGCCCCTTTGCAATCATTAACATTTTCATAAGTAACTGTAATTTAATTACACATTTTTTTCTCAGTAACTGATTTATTTTGTAATTAAATTACATAACTGCGTTACATGTAACTAGTTACTCCCCAACACTGGCCAGATATATATGTCTATTAAGTGAGAGCCCAGAACTGGGAACTTTCATATGACAATTCTGCATAAAAAAAGCATCCTCCAGATGCCAATCCCACAAAACATACATCACACTTAAAGGATTGTCACAAGATAATGTGATCCCGATGGCTAAACTGACAGTATTGTATTGCTGTGAAAAAGCTAGTTGGTAGTTAATGAAATTAGAGAGAGAATTAGAAAACATTCATAAATGTGGGAGTAGCTGGAATTTGCTGGAATAATGCTTGTCCTTCATCCAAATCTAAACCACAAGTACAACGAGTACTTGTGGTTTAGATTTGTAATTAGATTTGTAACACGAGTAATTGTTAGTGTTCAAAAAAAGTAATTTCAGTATCATATCACAGTAAACAAGCAGTGACTGAGATATATATATATATATATATATATAT